ATTATCGTCGTCGTCGTCGTCGTCGTCGTCGTCGTCGTCGTCGTCGTCGTCGTCGTCGTAGGGAATAACATCCCGCGCACGCGAGAGCGCTAGCGAAATGCCAAATAAAAAGAAACAAATCTGCCTCTCTCTCTCTCTCTCTCTCTCTCTCTCTCTCTCTCTCTCTCTCTCTCTCTGTCTCTCTTTCTCTCCCCTTCGCTCTCTCCGAGTTAGCAACGATAATAACGATACCGCCGACGGCGCGCGCTGCGCGACGATCGATAGCCGACCAAGAGAGTATGCTCATCCCGGACATCTTTAAAGCCCGATGTGCGATAACATGGAAATTCGAGGCGCGAGGAGGCGAATTTACCATTTTTCTATTCCCTCCAGCCTTCGTCCCTTGGCTTATGCGCGCGTCAGTAGAGAAACCACAATTTCGAGAGATGCGACGAGAGGGGGAGAAGAGGCGCGCCGGCTCGCAGATTTTGATTATACTTCCCGACTTAATATCGCTGTATTTACGGCGTAATATGTTGCGTGCAAGTGTGTGAGATAGTCCGGCGAGCTTCGGAGGAGTTTTCCAAGCCGAAGTATGAGCCATAGGCCGGCGGAGGGGGCGAGGCGGGCGGGCGGGCGAGAGCAAGCTGTTTCGCGTGAAACTTTCGAATTATTTCTTCGCCGTTTCTTCGACTGGAAGGCAGGCGGGCACGTCGCGGCCGGGATATTATATCCGGTGAGACTTTGTCTTACGGCTGGCGCGGCGCGGCGCTGTGCGTCGACGAGGGAAGTTCACCCTCTCTTTAACGTCGTTTCCGCCGACGACGGGAGGATGCGTCGGCCGGGCTCGCTCGTCGCGAAAGTTGCGGTCTGTTCGGGGCGTCGCCGTGCAGACCGGATAACGACGTTGTGTTGCTAATGGAGTCCGCGACGACACGGTACGGAGGATACGGCAGCAAAACCTTCTAACCGTTTCGCACGAACGACCTGTCGTGTCGACGCGGCTACTTCGCGTTTATTATCGGGTGCAGTCGAGTGGGGTTTTGTCGCGGCGGCAGTGAGGCAACACAGCTTGCGTTCCCGCGGGACCGCGGCGGCGGCGGCATTCCGAAGCCTTGATCCGCGTCGTGAGATATTCCGTGAGAGATCTTGTCCGTTTGTCTCTTCCAACGGGAAAGATATTTGGAGCGAGGAAGATGTGATTTACGAGCCCGGGTTATTACGCACGGCGTTGTTTTCACTTCGTGTTGCCGTCTCGATCTTCCCTCGATTATCCGGCACTCCTCTTTCTATTTCGGACGAAACGTGATGTGGAAACAAAGCGATGGTACCGTGAAATTGGGACGTAACCGATTCAAGGATCACTCCGCTTTTTCCCGTTATTTTCGCGAGACCGCGCGCGCCGTCCGCGAGGGAAAAATTGCCGGCGAAATGGCTGTTTTCTTTTTTTCCTTTTTTTATATTGCGGGAAACTAGGTGCTTTCTAGTGCATTTTCGAGGGCAGTCTCGTTTTTACCGCATGGATATTTTTCGCGTTACGTTGCAGGGAGAGATCATTTCTCGCGGGGAGGAATTTTCTCGCAATTTACGCGCCCTTTTATTATCACTGTATCCTCCGCTCCTCACGATTTTGGAGTTTATACGGCGAGGAGGTACCACAATTTTATGTTTGCCGAACGCGCGCACGCAAGCTCTCGGAACTGCAGATCCCGTTCAGTCGCATAGTAACGCCGGTCATTAACGATAACGTTATTCTCATAATATTTCAGGCGCCGTGCATTAGTTACTCGCCGCATTAGGAGAGGAGCCGCGTCATTATGCAACGGTGAACTTCTGCGTCGGTGCACACGCCAGCTGCGGCCGAAATTGCCTGACATCGCTTCGAGGAGGACCCGCGGCGGCTTCATGGAATCGTGATCGTGGTGAGTACGATGATTTCAATTCGGCGACTAATGTCGCCGTAATGTCGCCGAGCGAGCGAGCGTACGAGCGGCTGAAGCTGCGGGAGGCGCTGCGGGATTTACACGTCAACAGACGCGGCAAGACGTGCCAATCGCTGAATCTGGGCCAGATGACATAACAGCCGCGAGACGCGAGGTGCGACGTGCGCATCCTCGCGGTGCATCGCGTCAGGTCGAGACGATTTCCGGAGAACGCGTAAGCGTGCCGCCGAGCGGAATACGCGATTCGACGCAATTCGAGAGGAATCGCCGCGTCGGCCAACAATGTCACGTATTTGCGCGAGACTACGCGATTTATTTATTTCGAGACGCGTTGTCCCAGCTGTTTCCAACTTCAAATGTCTCGGCGATACGGAAAATGTGTAAGCGCGTTACGCTTAACGACTGCGTCTCGTTCGTTACGCTGACATTTCCGCAATTCTCGTTTATCCGCGGATTATACCGCGTGCGCGCGCGAATACACGTGTGTGTGTGTGTGTGCGTGTCTGTGTTGCCCTTTCCATTTATTACGCAGACACGTGCATTTTGTTGAGCGCTCCGATGGCGCGCTGCGCGCTCGCTCTTTATACCGCATGTAGGTCAAGTGTAAGCTGTCAATATTTCGTTTTCCATATTTCACCGGCGATGCGTTGGCTCTTCGCGCTGTGCGCTGTGTGGATATTTTTCTTCTTCATCCAGGTGCATTTCGAATATTGACCCACCGTAAATCTTATTTTCACTCTCCATTCAGAGTTACTTCGCAGCCGTCACCGGTGGTGATCGGTAAACTTTTCCGCCGAAATTACGCCCACCCTCCTCCCGCCTTCCCACCCTCACCCCCCGGGAAAATGCGTGTGTCGGATGTTGACGGCATGACGTTACGACTCGCGATGGATCACGCTCTTCCGACGCGCGTTCTTCACTTTCGCTTCGCTTTCGCGACGGGCCATTCGTCATTTCCGTGTTTTCCGAAATAACGAATCGCTCCCATGGAGGAATGTCTACCCCCGGAATTTGCGAGCCGCGGTCACGACATCGCCGTCTGTCCTTCCGCCCTCACCAATCACCTGCGAGAAATTACAACTGACTTTAGAGGGACGGAATCGCGGTTTATCGCGTGATAGTCGCGCGTTACGACAGTTCGCCACTGCAAAAAAGGGGAACTACGGACGCGACTCGGAATAGGCCGGCTTCTATTTCTGCAGGATGCGTCGGCGAGGATACGACGCGAAGTTTGCGAGTCGTGTGCAGTTTCCGTGAGATCCTCGCTGTTCCCGGGAATCCCTTTATGAGGGCAACATCGTGGGGTGTCGGCGCGATAACGTCTCGCACAAACTTTGTGTCCGGCGAGAGAAGCGGTAGCGACAATGCGAGAGAGCTTACGCGGCGGGAAGCGTGAAGGTCGTCCCTTCTGCGCGCTGCGTATTTTTCTCGGCGTAGCCCGTCTATATCCTGCTTACGCGTCGCGCGTCCTGTTGGGACTCCAAGTGTCACCCCATCTCTTTATATAGGTATCGGATCGAAAATCCTACCGCGACGAGGATATTCCGCCAAACCGTGTAACACAACGTGGAAATCATCCCTCTCTCGGGTCGGCGTTGCGTTTTTCCGATACGCCTGGATATTCCCGGAAGGTCTCTGAATTGTCTCGAGATGGAGGATGTTTCTGTCTTCCAGGGAAGACGAATTCGCGTCTGAGAGAAATGATTCTGCCGACAATATCGAGCGAAAGAATTACAGGCAGGAGAATCATTTTGTTCGCAGTGCGTCAAAGATAACAATCGTATTCCGATCCATTTTGCAAAGACACTGTTTTCTTGTCAAAGCAACGAGCAGGCAAGAAGTTGGGGCGCAAAGTAACGATCATCTTACATCAACCGTTTTTTCTCCCAGTGAAAGTCTTTTATTATCATTTCTTTTTCCATCACTTGTTTAAATATCTCGTTTAAGTAGTCTTGTCGCGTGATTGACTCGTTACGAACAGCAAGAGCACAACAACTGCAAATGTTAATTTCTGTACTTGAGAAAATTCGAGAACTATTCGTGGACGATTGGATCAGCGCGGAGGAGGTTCCAAGGACGCGAGAGGATTTTTCGTCGGCGGTGACGTTGACGCTGCTCCGCGGCGAGTTCGGTACACGCAATTTGGCGCCATGATGACAGTATGACTATTGCATATAACGGAAGCAATGAGCATAATATCACGCTCACGCGTACACCGAGTAGGAGAAGGGCTGTTCCCGCAGAGGCTCGTTCTCGTCGCGACGCGGCAACGAACACCCGTCGCGCCGCGCGGTGATGCGCTACGGGGCGAATTTAATAATTGCGCGGATTCGCCATCTTTGTCGGGCGCGGTGTAGCGCGACGAGGCGTTAATTACTTCCACTATTACCATTTCAGATTGAATCGCGGCCGCGATGCGCCGGGGTTCATTACGCGAGCAATCTTCCTTATGAATAATTTTGCATTTGTTGTTATCGGGGGGCTTTTTCGTGGGGCGCGCTTCGAGACGGCCGAGTGGCTCAGAATACGAGAGCCGATGGTAATTTGAGTAATACACGAAGTCGCTCAAACGAGATCGCGGCGGAATGGAAAGTTCAGCGACGCGGATACGAATTGCACAGATCTCACGAATTTTTAACGCGACTTTATTTCCTTGCCTCTTCCGTTCCTTCTCTCTCCCACTCTTCCAGCGTAGTGTTGCGTTAGTATTTACGCGAGAGAGAGCTCCTACGGAGCCCTCGGATACGCCGCTGTAACGCCAAGGGCACGCAGAGGTCCAACGCCCGGATCTTCATCCTAATTATGAATGGCGTCATTCGTTCGGCCTCTCAAGTAGGGGAGACGCGCACGAACGTCCTCCTTCTCGCTCCCTCTCGTTTCTGCTCTCCTTTCCTCGCTAGACGGTCCCCACGTTATGCAGTACGCGATACGGCCGGCGTTTATAAAATGTGGGCCACTTCAGTACGCGGATCGTCGATGCGCGGATCGCATTACTCGTAGCCGAAGCATCGTCCACCTAAGTTCGCGCCACGATGATCGAGCTCGCTGTTGTTCGCCGTTCGGCCGTCAGGTTGTTCCGATGGTGCCGTTGGCTGCTTTACTACCTGTACGCGAATGTATCGTATCTCGGTGAGTGCGTGTAATTTAAGACTATCGATCTTACGAGGGATACTCGAGAGAGAACGAGAGAAAAAGAGGAAAGGGGCGAGACGAGGGTACTTTTGCACCCTCGGCGTCTCTGCACCCGCGGCGTCGTACTTTTGCAGCGCGATAAAGCTTCGCAAAAAGATAAAACGACAGACAACTGGCGTAGTGTAATTGCGGCTGCGGCGCTTATCGGCGACTCACACCGCGTCGCGGTCACTGTCAAGGCTGATAAGAACAGAAGCGCGATGTTATCTAATTGTGCACGCTCGTGTGATAAATGTTTCCATATTTTCGCCGTTCACGTTCACCCGGAACACCACAGCAGAACCGCAGCTTCGGTCGCGATCTCGCGCGAAACTCGATGCGCGCCGGTCGTCGGCCGGTAGGATAAGAAAGAGAAACAGGAAAAAAAAAAGGAGATCCGTACTTTTCTCGCAGAGAGCGCGATGACACTGATGTGATGTTTTTTTATCGCGAAGAAATATGTAACGTGATAATCGCCTCCTCGCCTTTATAACGTGCATTGCGCAAGCTGACCCCTCTCGCGAGATAAGGCTCCGTGCGGATCCGATGCGTCGTCGGGCCATCGTCGAGGAATTGGCGATCGACGCAGCTTGCGATATAATATTGCACACACGTCGCGTCGAATCGATCGGGATCGAGATCGATGATCGTTCCTTCTCTCCCGGAAGTGCGACACGTGTGATCACGGTGTCGTCTCGCGTCTGTCGCCGAAGACGCCGGTGTCTTCCCGCGTGACGACGCTGAGGCGACGTCGATATGTGCATGTCCGAGCTAGGCTCCAGCTGTCCGACCCGATAGATGCGCATGTGCTTAGATAGAAACTGGGCCGCCACTTCCCTTCGCGTTAGAACGCACTTCCGCATGCCTCTCGAGCGCGCTTCTCCAGCGGCGACGTTGCTGACGCCTCCTCTCGCTGTCTCGCCTCGCCTCGCCTCGGCTCGGCTCGGTTCGGCTCGAAACATTACTCGCCGACGAACAATATCGCGGAGCGGAAACGGAAATAGATTCGAAGTGACTGCCTCGTCATCGAGTCGGACTTGCACCGGCCATTACGTGGCCCTAGCGTGGCGCGCAAAGCGGCCTTTATGGCATATCGCTCGGGAAAAAATTTTACGATTAATGGTTCCGCTGCATTAGCCGACGCCACGGCGAGCTTCTCCATCGTTCCGTTATTACCATCGCCGCGGTATCTGGAGCATCCAAGGCGCGGTTTTTATCGTTACGCGTTGAGGAGCGCGCTCTGCGCTCCCGCGGCGTTCCTCTCATTCGGACGAAAATGATAATCGCGAGATTTCAAGCGTTTCCGAGCGCTCAAGGCGAAATTAATATTGTAAGATCTGCTAGGAGAAAGAGAGAGATAGATAGAGAGAGAGAGAGAGAGAGAGAGAGCGGGGGAGGGAAGGAGGGAGTTACACTTTTCCGAACAGCTGGCGCTCTCCGCATCTGCAATTCAAAGACGCGGCCGCGCCTCGCAAAATGCAATTCAAAGAGCTCCTCGCCGAGCGTGACAAAGAAAATAACATACATTCGCCCGTTTCTCCGTTTACGCGGTATGTCGCATGTATACTCGTGCTAGCGCTAATAACACAATGCGCGTTGTAAATTTATGTAGACAGCGTCGTTAACGCCTTGCCCGCCTTCTCTTTCTTTCCAGCGCGGCTCGCCCCGACTGAACGAACGAAGCGCGCGACGCGTCTCATCGCGTTATCACACTTAAAATAATAACGCGCGAATTGCTTCGCGCGAGTGACGTGTGAAACGGAACACGGGGCCGAAGCGCCGATGAAAACTCGGTCGAACACCCAAGGCGTGCATTTGTCGGGTCGACAAATTAATAACGCCCGCGCCGCAAATCCGACCTGTCAGCGTCGAATTGTCTGAATTGTCGACAATGAAAGATTTCCGGCGCGAAGGCGATGTGACCGGGCGACGCGGAGCGGGTTTTCACGGTTTCGCGTGTACGCCCTTCTCGAGGCCCGGCGTGTTCTAATAAATATAAACAGAGCAGGAGAGAAAGAGGCACGCAACTGCTCCGTCACAGTTCATTTGACACAGTTCTCTCTCATCAGCGGCTTTTCGAGCCTTCTCCTCATTTATGCGATTACCAGGACTGCTCACGAGAGAGGACATTCCGCGTGCGGGAGCGGCTGTTGCCGCGCGAATCACTCGAACCGGAATTATTTTAATTATCCGGAGCGAGATTTCAACGCCGAAGCGTCAGAGTCACGCGCGGCTCGGGAAAAATTCCCTTTGGAAGAAAAGGACGTAGCAAGCCGTCCCAGTTTCGCCGCTCGGATTAGCTTGCGGAAACGCTGCCGGGTGGCTATATATCGCCGTCGCGACCGGCCCGGTTTGCTTTGCAACAACGCAGAGTGCGTTTCGTTTTCGCGGTGTTCAGGAGATACAGACACACAGCGCGGACGATCGTGCTTTCGCCGATCATCAGCAGGTACACGCCGCGCCGCGGCGCGGCGGTGCAGTTGCGAGAGCATTGCGGCTCGCTTTGATTAGCGAATCCGTTGTGAACGCGCGATTAGCCGCCCCATGAGCCGCGAAGCACACAGGAACGGCGGCTCGAAAACAATCGGAAACGATTCCGGCTCCACTCAATCGAGTGACATCAAAAGCTCGTCGATGAACTTCGCTCCGCTCGCCGCTCACCTCGCGGCTCCGTCCGGCAAGGCCAGCGCCATTGAATACACACCATGACGACTCGTCCCAGGTCGATCGAGGGTTGCGAGAGTGGAGAAAGCCGCGTTTCATCGGGGTTACTGCACCGCAAATCGTTAATTGGATAACGCGCCTCCGGGGAGAGGAAGGGGGAGAGGGGTTGCGGCTTTTCTTGCTTTCTCTCGGCCAAAGCCCTTTGCCCGAGAGAGGCCGTCGTCCGCTTGCCGTCGTCGCCATCTCCGTCGCCGACGTCGGTGACGTTGAATGCGATTGATCTCGCGGGGGCGACGTGAGGCCGCGAGACGGATCACGTATGTATGTTCGTCTGTCTTGCCGACAGGAATTCAAAGTTCGCTAGAATAGTCTCGTATTTCACTACGTTTAGTGCGTCACTTAATGAGCTGAATTTCAGTTTCCGCGGAAGATCATTCACGAAAGTTTAGCTCTCGTGAGCTCTAACTTTCCCTTTTGAGTACAGCCATGACTGTTTGCGAGGGTCGCTTGATATTTCACTCTTCTCATTCTTCCTCAGGGATCTTCCGAGAAATGACGTGAAATCTGCTTATTTTTCAATACAGTCGATTGATCGTAAAAGTTGACCGATCAAGCCACGCCGATCGAAGCTTAACAAACTTTCACGCGAGCTTTGCGAACGTTCGCGATCATTTCTCAGCGAAAATATTCCAAAGACCGCGCAAGTGTATTTTATCTCGTATACACAAACACCTTGAGAAGATATCGCGATACAAGCAAGCGTCCGTATTGACGATGGAGTTTGTTGATACTGGGGTAAGAATCGGCCGGCCGATACATCCCCGAAGCTCTATTTGGTATTATGTAACTTCTCAGACTTCCTCCCGCGTGGAAGATCGGGATAAGCACGCGTCATTTCTTCCGCAAAGATCGCCATCGCCATGCGTCAGAGCCAATAGTCGCTATTCAATCCATTAATTGGATCGCGCGGAAGGGACACCCCCTATTTTGCGGCCTCGTAGACGGCACCCCTCGCGAGCAAAGAGCGAAGGGATCGGCAACGTGATTAGGGTCTCCGCGCCCACGACGCGGCGGGAGAAAATATTTTCCCAGGTCGGGACCGGTAAACACGCGGCTTTCGCGCCGCCAAGGATCGACCAGTCGGTCGTTCGTTTCAGAGGGCCGGCGAGGTGGTGTTGGCGGTGATGGCGCTTGGGGGTTAAAGCCGAAGCGATCGAGCGGCTAGATCCCAGCTGCGAGTCAATGGCGGGCTGATTGGCCGCGCGGGGATGGCGATTACACGGGCCGCCGGTGTAACTATGGGTTACAATGACACCCGTGATTCTCCAGCCGCACCCTTGGCTCGTCTCGCTGTCGACCTTGATGCGATCTCGCCACGTGGGCAGCCTCGCGGCGAGCTCGTTAGCAGCGCCGTGGCCGGTCGATGAAATTAGCCGATGCCGTTGCGACGAACAATGGTCGGCGGTGCGCGGTGATTTTCGCCCGGGCACAATGGCGCGCCCAGCGGCGAAATTGCCGGCGGAAATTTTGCGGAACGTTTATCAATCGTAAAACGCGCTGGAATTGCGAGCCGCGTCTCTGAAGCCCCGCCGTTCGCGAGAGATTCGCCGAGTCGGAGAGGGGCCAATTTATTCTCAACTTCGCCGACTGCAAACGCGGAAGGTGTATTAGCCTGGCGCTCTCGTGCGTCTTGTTTTATGACTTATTGCTGTACACAATTTTGCGTTTGTCCTATATAATAATAATAATAATAATAATAATATATATGTGTGTGTGTGTGAATATATATGTATATACACACATACACACGGTGTACGGTGAATGTGCCAATTATTGAGCGAGTATTCACACCGTGAAAATAAATTAATGAATTAATGATATACGCGTTAAGCAAAGAATCCGAAATTCTGTAGTCATCCGAACAGAACACGTTCGGTTCGTTCATTAATTCCACCAATCGCTTTCCGTTCATGTAGATGTATAAAATACCAACTACCAACTAGTAATTGGAGAAACGTTAGGTCGGAGAGGTCGGGAATCAACAAAACGGTCAAACATTGTTAATGACGACATTTATTTATAATTACTAAAACATACTAAAGTCAGGAATTATACACTCGACATAATTAAGTATCGATTGGCACACGGCGCGGTCGCGATTCGCAGGCAGAAAAATCTTTCGGATTTTCGCGGAGAAGCGACATCGCCGTCGATGGTCTCTCGAGGTGTCGAACGATCGTTACTGACGTCACGGTCGAAATCGTTGAAGCACCTTAAGAACAGCAACGCGCGTC